CCGGAGCTGCGGGAGGAGCCCCGGGGCCCTGGGGCGGCGGCCCGGGCGCAGCATTTTGGAGAGTCAAGTCACTAGAAGCAGGAAGGAGGGGGTGCCCTGCGGATATGCGGGACTCTCAGATGGCATCTAGTATCTGTCACACCTACTTAGATGATGCCAGAAAGAAGCTAAATACAGGGAGTAGGTAAATCACCCAAACCCAGGCCTAATCGGGCTGAAGTTCACAGGAACCCGTGTGCTGACTTTCATAAGTATTTGGTCATCGTGCTGTTGGCTAATATCAGTTGGCTTATAAAAATCCTTGGGAAATGCACACTGTTTTCACATACGGAATGAACAAATACAGTTGCTACTACACTGGGGGCAAGGCAAGTTCTGGAAGGAAGGGAGGGAGGGAGGAACTTATATTTTCTCCAAAATTTTTCACTTGTTTATTCCAAATTTGCATTTGCACTTATATCATAAACACACACACACACACACACACACACACACAAACATACCTGCATTGCTTAGAAAACTTGTGGAAAGATTCACACGCAACTTGACAGCGAACACATGCAAGAAAAGCACTTAGGAGTTTGGAATTTGAGGGGAATTTTTTTTAAGGGAAATATTTTTTATACATTTTAAAAAATTTTACTTTTAATTATAGTTAATGTACAATTTTATACATTTTTTATTATCATATTGTTTTCATAATGAAACCAGTGGATTACATTGTCTAAAAGGATGTCTGCTATTTTGCTTTCACTAGGGAGCAAAACAACAATAGAAGATTCCTGTGTTAGTATTGATTTTTAAGTGCATGCTTGGGTTCTCGGGGTTCTGAACTTTGGGCTGGTATTTTGCTTTGAATGAGATATATTTGTACACATTTTTTAATACTTTTTAAAATGTTTTTTTTTTATTGATTTCAGACAGGAATGGAGAGGGAGAGAGATAAATATCAATGGTGAGAGAATCATTGATCTGCTGCCTCCTGCACACCCCTTACTGGGGATCCAGCCTGCAACCTGGGCATGTGCCCTGACTAGGAATCAAACTGTGAGCTCCTGGTTCATAGGTTGATGCGCAACCACTTAGCCACACCTGGTGGGCCTGTACTCATTTTCATAGTATGTCATTAATAGTTCGATTCATAGCAGGGTTGGAAGCAGAGGAAAATATGAATCGATGTGGTACCCACTTCCAACCCCGCTTTTGGGTATGTTCACTTACAGTTTTTCATTTTATTTAGTAAAATAAAGATTTACACTGGATATGAAAAAAGATAATTACTTTAAGAAAAAGTATATTTTGTTTTGAATTAAGGCTACTAGGATGTGAAAACTACCTCTCATTTAACATGTGATAATTCTGTAAGACTTTGGTCCTACAGCTTCAGTGTAAACTGTTATTCATTCATCCTTTTTTTTTTTTTTTAAACTCACAAATGGAAAAGGCCTGGCAGGTTTGGATTGATGGGTTGAGCACTGGCCTTTTTTTTGGACATACCAGTGTCTTCCCCAGGGGTGGGCAAACTTTTTGACTCGAGGGCCACAATGGGTTCTTAAACTGGACCGGAGGCCGGAACAAAAGCATGGATGGAGTGTTTGTGTGAACTAATATAAATTCAAACTAACATCATTACATAAAAGGGTACGGTCTTTTTTTTTTTTTTTTTTTTTTTAGTTTTATTCATTTCAAACGGGCCGGATGCGGCCCGCGGGCCATAGTTTGCCCACTGCTGGTCTAACCTGTGTTGTAAAGTTAGGACTATGGGTGAAGACTATTCTTGAAGAGTTTTTGTGGAGATACATAAGAACAGTTTTCCACTGGTATTTTCATTTAGTTGGAAAATTAGAACTTGGTAGGGTGCAGTCTGCCCCTTTCCTGTTTTTTTTCTGCTGCCAATAAATGCTAATTCTGTGGCTGCAGGTAAGTAGAGACCTGAGCCTGTCCTGTTAGTATTACTCAGTTGTTTTGATAGTTGGTCTCATTATCTCATACTTTGATGATGGAGATTTAACGCTCTTCTATACTATTGTGTACAAGCTCTTCTGTGGAGGGAGCTTTCTTATCTGCATTCTGTGATGTTCAGGAGACTTGAACTCTAGCCAACTCTGAATATGTATAATCTAAGAACCAAATGAACAAAACAAAAGAATATATTCTGGTCTCATGTCATAGAAGGATAAATATTTGCTATTATTCTCAGGGTTAAACATTGACTTACACTTTATGGAAATTTTGTGAAGACAAAATAGTTGATGTAGCTAAATCAGGAACCAGTTTAGCTATTTTAAACTTGGTTGCAACTTTACTACTTGGATCCTAGAGCAGCCGTGGGCAAACTATGGCCCGCGGGCCGCATCCGGCCCATTTGAAATGAATAAAACTAAAAAAAAAGAAAAGACCGTACCCTTTTTATGTAATGATGTTTACTTTGAATTTATATTAGTTCACACAAACACTCCATCCATGCTTTTGTTCCGGCCCTCCGGTCCAGTTTAAGAACCCATTGTGGCCCTCGGGTCAAAAAGTTTGCCCACCCCTGTCCTAGAGTGATAATGTGCTTTGAGAAAAGGTTAGAGTCCTCCTCAAGGCTGTGAAGGGGACACGGATGCTCTTTGGATTTCTTGTTCACACACATGCTGCTGCTGTAATTCAGAGAGGGAGTGGCTGAGTGTTGCGTTGCCATGTGGTCTAAATGCTTCATTAAATTAAAAAAGAATTCCCCAAGGTTGCTCAACATAAAGCAGTAAATATCTGCCTCACTTTACATTTCAAGATGGGAGACTATAGACCTAGGACTGAACTATAAATAATTTAAATAAATATGAGTTGAACACGTGTAACCTATTATATTAAATTAACATATTACATTAATTATCCTAATATATAAAAAGCCATGGGCCCTCACGACCGAAACAACTGGGTGGACAACCGCGGGCTGCATGGGGCAACAAGGCTGGCAGGGGGGTTAGTGAGGGATGACCAAATGACTGAACAGCAGGCTACATGGGGCAACCAGGCCGGCAGGGTGGGGCAGTTGGGGACAACCAGGCCAACAGGGTGGGCAGTGAGGAGCAACCAGGCTGGCAGAGGGTGGCAGTAAGGGGCGACCAGGCTGGTGGTGGGGGGCAGTTAGGGGTGACCAGGCCGGTGAGGGGTCAGTTGGGGGGCGACCAGGACAGTGCGGGGGGGCAATTGGGGGTGATCAGGCCAGCAGGGGCGGGCAGG